GAGGCTGAGCCCAGAGGACATTGCTGGTAGCGGGGAGGAGGGAAGGGGGAATGAGGTGGGAAATGCTGGTTTCTAACTGAGAGCTGGATATTGTGGACACCAGTAGAAAAGGGAGTTTGCAAAGGCTTCTTCCTTTCAGCAGCCTTCCCAGGGCTGCCGGTCAAATTGTGAGGTTCCTCATACTCTTGCATATGAGGAAAAAGAGGAGAAACTTAAGTTGCTGAATTTTCTAATTCACAGTGGTCAGGTGAGCATGTGGCCTTACAAAGGCATTTCAGGCTTCTGATACCACAGATTTCTTTCCTGTGATTGTTATTAATAAGCTAAGATGACTTGTGGCAGACCTTGATCTTGTGTAGAGAGTCTTCCTCCATCTTTTCAGAGAAAAACTTGAGCCTCTTGAATACAGTACTGGCTGGGGTAGGAATGGCTTGTTACAGTTATGTTTTTTTTTTTTTTCTCTTCTGCAGTATCTGGTGTGTAAAAGGAAGCTCGAAAGTAAAAAGGAGGCATTGCTGATCCTTTCCAAAGAGCTGGACACCTGTCAACAAGAAAGAGACCAGTACAAGCTTATGGCCAACCAGTTGCGGGAACGACACCAGTCTCTGAAAAAGAAGTATCGGGAGCTGATTGTAGGTTGTTCTTTATGAATACTGTATAATTGGGGGACAAGAATCAACCTCAAAAAAAATCAAAAGGAGTCCATAATGAGTGCTGTAAAAATGTTTAGGTACTTGTTTACAGTAGTCCTGCAGTTGTACAGCCCTGATCATATTATTACTCATTTGTTCCGCATTGATGAGGTAGTGCCTGTTATATAAGACACAGAAAGACAGTGCGTGCTCTGAGGAAATTAGTTTCAGTCATAATTCCATTTAAAAACTGACTACAGTATTATAATTCCACAGCAACTTAATGTACCGTTATGAAAAATAATGCAACGTAAATTTGTAATGACCTGCTGTTCTAGAAATGTAAACAAATCTTCAGCCTTTGACAATTTTTTGAGATTAAATTAATATTACTGATATTAATCAAGATGCAGTATTCTAGAAACAATTTGGATAACATTTTAGTTAAAATACATGTTTTAAACTTTGATCCACAAAGTTAATATAGTTGCTGGCTTCAGAAGTAAGTTCCCAATAAAATATGTCCATTTATTTGTAGGATGGGGATCCATCCCTTCCACCTGAAAAGAGGAAACAGGTAGGATTCATTTTTCAGTTGATGTTATTTATCTGCTACGAAAGTACTTTGCAAAAGTGTGAAAATGTAAACTACGAAATCTGGTAAAAAGCAAACATTGTTGTCTATTGAAAAGCTCAGTCTTTAAACCGTGGCTTCTTCTGCTTTTGTCTAAACATGTTTCACTCTGAAATACCTGAACTGTCATTAATTAGAATATATGGCTATTGCTTTTATGTTCACCTGAGACTGAAGTTGGTCAGCGTACGGAGACTTGAGATTGTTCTCCTTGTTGTTTATCCTTCTTGTACTGAGTTCTAAAATGGGTTTGTGACAGGACTTCTCATACTTAAAAGCAATTTGGGAATGCATTGTCTGCATCCTATAGTTGTTAATTTATTGTTGTGAGTACTGTTTTCCATTGGGTACTCTCCCAGGTCACTTGGGCTGTATGAGTTGTAAATGGTAAGATCAATGGTAATTGCATTTTATGGTTCCCCTGAAAAACTTTTTGCCTGCTCACTTTTTTTTCCTCCGGAGATCCATGTAGTGTGTCCCTGTTACGGATTGTTGGCTGTCACATCTTAAAATTACCTTAATTTTTAGAGAAAAATAGCACCCAAAACACAATGTGTGAGCAGGGAGAGGAGAACCCAAAATAACAAAAATTGTTACTGTAATTGCTAGTCCTGAAAGTCTTTTAACTGTGTTTAAAACATGGTTATTGCATTCTCTTAGTGGGTCAGAAGTTTTACTCGTCATCCTTTCCCTGGGAGTTTGCATGTAGTTCTTGCTGTTTTCTTAAAATGTTAAGGGCTTAGGGTTTTGGTTGTTTTAAACTAAACTTTCAGAGGCAATATAATTACTCCTTCAGGCACTTAAACGAATAGCTGCCAAGAAGACAGTGGCTCAGTGTAGAATCATTTAACTTCCTCATTATTTAGCATAATTTATTTGAAATTCTGTTATTTTGACAGAATTCTAATAAAAGTTTATGACCAGATACAGGTTTGTGCATTCTGACTACTAAAATTGGAGCTGAAGAATATACAATTAAAAGGAAAAAAACCAATCCAGTATATGGGTCATTACAGAGATAAGCAGGAAGGGAGATTTGCCATCCCATGGATGTTGTTTTAATTCCTCTTCCAAAATAAATTCCTCTTTCAAAATAAATAAATCTGACACTTGTTTCTAAAATACCAGCAAAATTCAGTCTAAATTCAGAAGCTGCAATTATATTAAGTTTTGGCAAATCTTACCATGGTAAGTGCCTGGAAAGCCATTTAATAATCTAGCTAGGAGTCTTTTTTTGTGAGGAAGTTATGTATTCATGCTAGGTAACAGTGAAAGAAAGAAAATCTTGTTCTCAGATGGGGTCATTTATAGGTCTCCCCCAAGGACAATATGTACCTTGGGTTGTACAGTAATAGGCTGTTAGTGCAATTCTTGAGTTATCATTCTCCTGAGAAGTGTCTGTAGCGTACAAGGTGGATAATCTGGAGTAGTTAGGGCAACCTTTCTGAAGAGGAGTATAGTTTTGCTTTGAGAAATGCGTCAAAGAGTAATAAAATAAAGTTATGGATATTTTTCCATTATTACTGTATGTACATTTCTTAGCATTTCCTCATCTAAGAAAGAGTGAAGTTCTCTGTGCTCTTTTGGACTTTTTCCATCCCCTTTTTGCCCAGAAGCCTTAGTTGCCTGCTGGGAGAAGTTTGTGACCTCAGTCACTTTATAAAAACAGAGACCCTGATCTTATAATGGATTTTGTGTGACACAAAAGTGCATGCTGTTCTTATGGTCAGAAATAGATAAAAACTTGATATGCTGAACAATTTGCTATCTGTTATGTTTCTTTACCACAACTGAGAAATTATTCTTGAAATTGCAATCTAGAACCTTAAATGTAATAGGTGGGTTGGAATTGCTACTTTCTTCTCCTTCATCTCTTCGTTTTTCACCTTTATTATCAATTACACTTTGTGACTTCTTAAAATATCTTGTTTTCCACACCATGCCTTCTCTCCCTGTTTTGCAACACAGAATTTTCACGTTTTGTATGGAAATATCATGCAACCAGGCAATTTCTATCAGCAAGCAGCTAACTCAGAATGTGTTTTTGTAAAATTGGTGTTACTTAAAGGTACCTTAATGTGCAGTGCTCTGCAATGTTTTCCCTCTCAAAGCTGTGTGTGCAGTGGTACACATCTCTGACATAATCCAAAGATTGTTCCATGTGTATCGCCTTCTGAAAACCAACAAAAGCAGGAAATGAGAAACTGTGCTACTGAAATCCCTTTTCCTGCAGTAGGTGTTTTAAAATTAGTCTTGTTATCATGGCCTGTGAGCTGTCAGTGCTTTCCTGGCCCCTCTTATCAAACATTCACAATTAAATGCTGCGGTTGAAGGTAGTTTTGTAATGTCATGTCGTGTCAGGTGTAGGGTAATTTTTGGATAAGTAATGGAGAGGTGGAATGTTTCAGGAGGATAGAAATAGTGAAGAGTTGATTTTGATGTTAAAATTCACCAGAGATGGTAAACAAAAGACACTCCCCATTTTGGAAGGCATGTTAAAATGTTGCTCTGTCTACGGAGCCTCTGTTGTGCATTCTATATAAATAGAAATTCTACCATTTTACAGTGGTATACATTTATATGCATTTGCTGTGATACAGAATGTTTTTATGACATCGACAAAAAAATACTAGATATCTGTTGGACAGTGTTGCCATGCTGGGAAACTTAAAGCAAAAAACATCGATGGGACTTCTAGCTTGGTTTATACTGACTATTATTTTTGTCTACATTGCTTAAATTTTCAGTATAACTTCAGTTTGGGAGAAGCTTTGTCCTTGAAATAACACATCAGTGAATCCTTTGACCTTCTATATGAAATGGAAGGTTTTTTTAATACAAATGGGATCCTTTGAATAAACAAAGGTGAAGTAAAATGCATGGTTAGGAAGATGGCTGTGCTGGGCCACAGTTCTAAATATGCTTTGCTTAATTAGATCTCAGTGAGATCACTCAGTTGGAGATAATGGGTTTGCAGTGGGGCTGTGTGTCAAGAATAAAGCCGCAATGCATATGTTCACTGGCGAGGGCTTATATTTGTATTTTAAATGTATGAGGAATCAAATTAAATGGAGCTAAACATCACAGGATCACAGAATGGTTGAGGTGGGAAGGCAGCTCTTGAGATCAACTAGTCCAATCCCCCTGCTCAAGCAGGGCCACCTAGAATAGGTTGCCCAGGACTGTGTCCAGTCAGATTTTGAACATCTGCAAGGATGGAGACTCCACAGCCTCTCTGGGCAACCTGTTGCAGCATTTGACCACTCTCACAATAGAAAAGTGTTGGGGTTTTTTTGTGTTCAGATACCTGCAGGTATTGGGGTCACTGAAGTCCCTCATGAAGATCATGGCCTGTGAACATGAAGCTTCTTCCAGTTGTGTGAAGAAGGCCTCATCTACTACTTCTTCCTGATCAGGAGATCTATAGCAGATACCCAATACAAGAGCATCCATGTTGGTCTGCCCGCTAATCTTGACCCAGAAGCTCTCACCTGACTCCTGACCTGTCCCAAGGCAGGTCTCCATGCATTCCAGCTGCTCTTTCACATAAAGGTCAACACCCCCTCCTCACCTTCTCAGCTGTCCTTCCTAAAAAGCCTGTATCCCTCCATCACACCACTCCAATCATGTGAGCTATTCCACTGTTTCTGCATGATCCCAATAAGATTGTAGCCCTGTAACTGCACACAGACTTCGAACTCTTCCCCGTGCTGCATGTGTTAGAGTAGAGGCCTCTGAGGGGCATCCAAGTGTGCCAGTTCTGCAGTACAAGCTTGAGAGCTTTCCCCACAGGGCTGTTCTACAGGCACTTCCTTCGTTACATGCCTACACTCAAAAGGATTATACTTCAGCTCAGTTGTTTTGTGAATGCTGTGTCCCTTCTCTTCCCATCATCCCAGACTCTTGGCTTGCCTAACCTATCCCAAACCTTCTTGTTCCCTCCTCCATTATTTCTAGTTTAAAGGTCTCCTTATGAAGTTGGCCAGCCTTTTGGCAAAGTACTTTTGCCTCATGTAGTCAAGTGCATCCTGTGTTTTCCAAGCAACTGTTGAGCCTCAGAGAGGATCCCATGGTCATAGAACCCTCTTTGAGGCTCCTAATAATGAGCCTCATAACATAATGATAACATAGTCCTAGTACAGAGCCCAGCTTGATAGTTACTCTTTTTGCCAGGCAAAAAGTCTCATCAGAGAACCTGTGTGCATCTTTCCTGAAGGTTGTGGTCCTTAACTCTCTTATAGTTATCTGTAGGTGTCCCAAGGTGATTCATTCAAGCCAAGACTCTGCTTCAGCGATCGTTGACACCACAGCAGCATGCTGCCCACTCACCAAGATACTGGTCAGTCAGCTTGACTTCTGCTAATGAGTGAGTTCATGAGTGTGGCATTTTGGGGCAAGAAGAGCATCAGAAGGCCCGGAGGTTCCAGACAGGAGTATGTTGTGACATACCACAAATGGACCCATTTTGATCCCTTCCACTTCCAGCTTCTAGCTTAATGTACTCGGCTGTCACAATTGACTTTCGAAACAAACTTCAAGGATTATGTTATGACCGTTTTTGACATCATCAGAAAAAATGACTAGTGTGACTATAGTGTGACTATTTCTTGTTAATTAATGAATTCGGGAAATTTTGCTAGTCTTGTGCTAAGGTGCAAAAGCTGCATTCAGAGTCCCGTGAGATAAAATCTTCAGATAAAGTACACTACAGGGTAAGCAATCATTTTGTATTTATCTCACAAGGGTGCTATGAAGATTAATGTGATTTCCTCCTTTCTTCAGAGGGTTTGAAGATGAAAAACATTATGCGTGTGCCAAACTGAGACTTGTGCGCTTTGCTCTGGTTTGTAGGTGCATGTGTTTGACTCCCATGGTGTAAGATAGCAGATGGCAAACAGTGCAATCGTTTGCCCTGGCAACGCATCAGAGCGCAATATTCCCAT